ATTTAACTTTATGATCAGATTTTCTCTTACACCATCTTGTAATTTTTTACTCAATCAATATTGAATTAACAACTTAACTCTATATTCCTTATTGCATATATATTTATAAATTAATCTCTTTAATTGCTAAGTGTCTTCTCTTAATAACTTGAGACAAAATATCATCTACTTGCATTCACATTTGCATACCACTCTTACTCTATCTTTATTAATCTTTTGAATCTTTAAGTCTTTACCAAACTGAATAACATACATTTTGAATATCTCTTTAAAGTCTTTTTTGCATGCAAATAAAGTAACTAACTCTTATTTGCAGTCAAACATCTTTGATAGTATTTGAAATAAATTATATTTTTGTCTGTCTTCCTCCTCATTAGAATCTACACCATTCTCCAATCCTTTATTAATATACTCTTCATCAAAACTAAAGACACCTCTATTTGTAGCATATGCTCTTAGATCTTAACCTAACCTCAAATTCTTTATGACGATAGAAATCAATATGAAGTAAATAGAGACTATTTTCCTTTTCTTTTCACTTGTTCCATTTCTTTTGTTTGGTTTTTTCTCTATTTTTTTCCTTTTTTGTGGCTTTTTTTTTTGCAATAGATTTTTCTTTATTCTCAGGGCTATAAACATCTATGGGTTAGTCCTTATCTCCTTGCTCGTTTTTAATATCAACCTAAACCTCATTATTCACTTAATTATTTGCCACAGTTTATCCCCATTCAACATCTATGTGATAATTTAGTAATGGACTCTCAACAAGATCTTAGTTTATAAAATTGCATATACTACATACAATTTCACTTTTTCATAACATTTGGATACTATGACCATCTTCATAGTTTCATTATCATCTTTAGTTCCTTCAATGTAACTTCAAGATATTTTTCACTTATTTTGTATCACATTTTATAAACCATATCATATCCCAATTCAAGTAATTTATTCAAGCACTCAAAATAACTCCAAAAATCTTAATGCATAACAATTGATATCATAGCATTCAAAGACTTTATTTTTCATGAAACAATCTTGCATTTTATAATAAGAACTTTCAAATTAATAGTTGAATTTGTCAATCTCATATTATATAAAAAGTTATTAAATAATATAAGTGTTCAAATTTAACATTAATGTTAATAGATTCATACTTAAAAAAATGACTATACAAAAAAATATGTTAAGGTTCTAAAAGTAACATTTTTAAAACTAACATAACTTGAGAATAAGTTTATTAAAAGAATTAAGCTCACCACAATTTATCTCATAATATTAAAAGACTTTATCTTAATCAATAAATTAATTATAAACACTAAAAGAAAAGCAACTATATAAAAATAATATGCTAAAATTCTAAAAGTAGCATTTCTAGAAACTAACATAATTCAAGTTGATTGAAAGATTAAATTCACAACAATTTATATCATAGAATAAAAACTTCTCAATTTTTCTTATAATTAACAAAAATAATCTAAAACCATAATTATTAGAACTAAAATTAATTTTTTTGCTTAAATTAATTTATCACATAATTTTATTTAATAATTTTTGCCTATCAAAACCTTCAAAATAACTTAAAAAATCTTTCTCACAATCTCATACACATATATCACTACTAACGTACTTAATATTTAACAACTTTTTAAACTTGTCTCCATGGTGAACTTTTATGCATAATTTATACATTTAATAACGAACTAAACTTAAACTTTAAATTGACAAAATCTTTAAAAATGTCAACAATGTCGTATGAGTCTAAGACTACAAACCCTTGCCCTCATGAAAAAAAAAACACTATACTTAACACATGCAACAAATTTGTTACAATTAAAGCATATACTTTATAACTTTGATGTTTACTAAGCAATTTTTTCTATGAGTGTCACAATTTCTCTCTTAAACAGTGACAAATTCTTTTTCTTAAGTGCAAGTAAAGTAATCGATATAAACCTCATTCTCAGATGTTTTAATTAAAATATCAAGATTAAACTCTTTAATATCGTTTAGGCCACTTTAAAGTCATGTAGAATATCTCTCTTAAGTAATGCAGCATAGCTAACAGAAAGAAAAGATTTGAAAAAAAAAACCTTAAAGGACTAAAATGAAACAAAATAAAATTAGAAAACTAAATCTAATGTTACCTATAAGTTGAAGACAAAAATATTAAATTTTTCTTATATATATATATATATATATATATATATTTAAAATTTAAAAAAAAATCTTACTTACTTTTTCCTCCAAAAACTTCTAAAGAAATTCTTCATCCTATAATTCAAAATTTTTTCCCTTTTTCATAAGACATTATGTATATTTATAAAGCATATCTTTTTTTAATAAATAAATATATTCTCTCTTTTATTTTTATAGGAGTACAATTGTAGTTAAATAGATTTCAAAATTATGGCCTCATGGAAAAAATCTAAGTCCCACATTACTGGTTTAATTTTAATAGATAAGAGCATATTTAAAAATATAATTTAATTAAACATTTAGTTAATAAGTTCTAATTATACAACAACTAATTATGTCATAGATCAAATTATAAAACATTTTGAAAATTTTAAAAAGAACTTATTCTCACAAATTATATTAAGAAATTTGTTGAAGTGAGTTTGATAAACCTTATAAGAGTTATAAATAATTTTAATAAATTTTTTTATAAAAGTCTGTTCGAACTCTTTTTTAATATATTTACCTTGTAACTAAAAATTTAGGTTTAAATATAATTTATATTCTTACATTTTTATGAATGTTTTAGTTTTGATTTTTAATTTTAACTTTGTAAAATTTGAAGTCTTTAATTTATCAAAGTCAATACTTATATAGTTAGTTTGATAATAAAATAAGTATAACAAGATAGTTGAGCTATCATATTCATCCTACTTTGCTGTTATACAACTTTTATCATCAGCATTGTTACATCATACAACACATTTCTGATACTACTAACAATATCTAATATTTTACTATCACTAGTATCACTATCGACTACTTTTTCTACTATTAATATCTAATATGATTATTATCATTACTACTATTATCACTACTTAACAATCTTCACCATCATAGTTTGTTACACAATCTTCATTATTGATTTTGCCTATCACCCTACACTACTACCCTCTATATGACACTCCTTACTATTATTTCTATGTTGCTAATTAACACCTTCATTTCTACTATCATCACAATCATCTAACTTTCCTTTACATCATCCTCCTAGTTTCACATCTTTTATTATCACCATTGTCATGTCACTCCTTCTATCAACATCGCGATTGTGCCTATCACCTTTCATTGCCCCTTGGCACACTTCATTCCTACCACCATTGTTATCGATCACCTTCTTTTCACAATTTTTTTTATAATTTAAAAATGAATTACATATAATAAATTTAAAAATAATAAAGAAATGTTAGATTTTTTAAAAAAATCATATCTTATCGTTATCTTTATCATAAAAAAAATACAAGTTAGATAACATATTACTATTTATTACATACTAAATATATAAAAAAATTTTAAAATTATATTGTATCCTACTTTTTAATTACATTCATGACTACCAAATAAGCCTAGAGTGTTTGTGGACTACTAAATAATGATGATATGATTAATAAAAATGTTACCATGTGTTAGTTAATTATTTGTGTGACTACATTAGTGAGATATAGAGGTGAAAATAGGTTGAGTTGAGTAAGGCTTTGCAAGGTCTAACCTTAACCTAATTTTAAAATTTAAGTTTCCAAAATTTAACTTAATTATTTGCTTGATTTAATCCATTTTTAATATTTAATTTAATTTTTGTTAAAGGATAAAATTTAGGTGTAATATTATAAATATTTTTAGAATTGTTCTCCAATTAAGATTGAAGTTTCATCTTGATAACGTTGAGGTTAAACTTCATCTTGATTGAAAAAACACAAAAAAGCATATATTGTACTTACTAAAAATTTATCCTTTTAAATGACAAATCCTATTTAATAATAAAAGCTAACACTTTGCTTCTAAATAAGCTAACAAGATAAAATTTAAATTTATATGTAAATAACTAACTTAAAACTTGAAATATAACAGTTACATAATAATTTGATCGAATAGACTTTTGAGAAATTGTTAATCTAATTTATTTAATAAATAAACTTAACTTGACTTAGGCATTATGTAGAGTAGGTCATAAGCTCAACAAAATCACTTAAGTTGCATAAACACAAAATAATGCCACAGAAAAAAAAAACAAATAAAAATATGTTAATTAAAAATATATTTAAGTATTTGAAGTCATTAATAATAAAATTACATGAATTATTATTACCTTTTAAATCAAAATTAACCTCTAAATATTAATCTACTTGTGCATATTAAAATGTGAGTATTTAATTTAACGAGAATATTTTTTATAAAATTATCTTAAATGATATAATTTTTAGAAGTTAGTACTTTTCTTGTTGTCACATGTGTTTTTTTTCTACATTTAATATTTAATATTTTTAATTTTATCTTATTTTTTTTAAAAAATATTATTTCTTTAATTTACTCATACTTAACATAACAGAATATTTATTATTAATAATAAATATATTTAATTTTAGTTTATAAATTTTAAAAATAGCCATACACATTTAATTATTCAAAAATTTTAATTTAATTTAATAATACCCATATAGCACACAAATAATTCTTTTTTTTTTTCAAGGGTGAAATTTGAGAGAAGAATTTGAACCCAGATTCTTACGTATCAAGTTACTGTTAAGTTATCAAGGATAGATAAATAACTCAGTAGTATAATAAATCATTTAAGTAATGTTTTCTGGTTATGTGATTGTTTTTTGGTTCAGTGATTACTAATCGTTACTAATTTTCTTTTTTAACACAACATTGCAACGAAGCCCAAGAACAAAATTTCCACAGAATAAATAAAGCCCAATATAGTGATCTCAAGTAAGAATTGGTTTAGTCTGTTAAGTCCATTTCAGTGGCCCAAATCTCAGGAAGGCAACGTAAAACCCTAAGTTCACTTTGTGCTCACGTTCCAATTTTTGTAGCTCTGAGAGAGACAACGTTCGCTCCTTCGTTCGCTAGCAGGAAGAGACTTCAACATGAAGGTTTTGTTACGAAACTCTATGCTCCCTCGTGCTTTAATTCCTTGTTGCATTGGTTCCTCAATTGCTGCGTTTTTTGTGCAGTTCAACATTGCAAATCCAACCACTGGCTGCCAGAAGAAGCTAGAGATCGATGACGATCAGAAGCTGTAATTTCTTCAATTTTATTATTATCATTATTTTTTAATTTTGGATTTGGATTCTTAGTTCAATTGTTATAGTTTCAGTTAGCCAGTTGTTAAGTTCATTCACAAGTTTGTTAGGGGGTATTGCTGTAGTTAGAAGTTGCTATCTATCAAACTATATAAGCAGTGCTGTGTGATGAGTTTCCTGCTAGCTATGGGTAGCAATTGGATTTTAGAAAATACATAAGATAAATTGAAGTGGGTATTTGCTTGCTATATAAGGAACAGGAAATGCATTGAATGTTTGTTATTGTATCAGCAACTACTCTAGGAGTAATGTTTTTATGCAGCACAAATGATCTAATTACTATTTTTGTAGCTTTGGATTGTTTTAGTTATTCTCCTATGTATTATTTGGATAGACCAAGAAAGATGTACTGTCTAATGAGCTTGCAATTTTCTATATTTTTGTATGAAGTTGAAATATGTCTGTCAATGTTCTAGCCTATATTTCTTAAAGTTTGAAGGGTCTAAGGCAAAGTAGAAGTAAAAAAATGGTTACTGTTGATTTTGAAGATGCTAATGAATTGACATTACGTTCAGTTTCCTATATTGCTGTCATTATGTTCATGAACATGTCCCTATATTTGAACATCCCCTAGGGTTTATTCCCTTCCTCTTTTCTGTCCCTGCCCTCATCCACAACTGTGATTACTGGAAACACCTAATAGCTGCCTGCAGCATGCGTCCCACTTGCAGTACTGGGGGTTTACTTGGTTTGCCCTCTTCTGATCTCTTGACTACATTACCTTTTCAATTAGAAGCATTAGGCCAACTGACACCATGTTGGTTGGTTTAAGTAAGTATACCTGTTGACCCTTTGTGAAGAAATGAAAATGAAAGCAGAGAGATATTCCTAGGAATTTGATTTTTTCTGCTATGCAATCTAGTTGCCTCTGTTTCCTATGCTAATTATTTGGCTACATGACTTGTTTCCCTGTTATGATATTCTATTTGAAATTGCAGACGAGCATTTTGGGACAAGAGGATCTCTCAGGAGGTCAGCGGAGATGCTCTTGGTGAGGTATGCCCTGTAGATGGAAACCAAATATCTGTTCCTTTATCTTTTGAGGAGCATTGATATAGTTGATATGTTCAACTCAACAATTCGGTTACCTACAGGAGTTCAAAGGATATGTCTTCAAAATCACAGGTGGTTGTGACAAACAAGGATTCCCAATGAAGCAGGGAGTTCTAACACCTGGCCGTGTTCGTCTTTTGCTCCACAGAGGTAGGACATTCAAAACGCTTCAATTTTTAATTTGGATTGATTTGCCAGAATATATTTTGGTATCACTGTAGCATTTGTCCAATTCTTTTGTTGTGTGTTTGTAGTTGACTTGTAAATTTTGTAGTTAATATCCACAGTTTGTATTCTGCCTCTATTTTAGAACTTATGCTGTATAATTTCTCTTAAAAAATGTAAGGTATAAAACTATTTTCTGGCAGATGCTTGTCTCTCTATGCTATGACCCTAGGATTTTTGAAGAAGCCTCTTTGTATAAGGATTTAAGATTTCTTACACAAGATGGCCTGGAGGGATGTTGTTAATTCTTTTTGCCCTGATTGTGTGAACAGGAACTCCTTGTTTCCGTGGGTATGGAAGGCGCAATGGAGAGCGTAGGAGGAAGTCTGTACGTGGGTGCATTGTTAGCCCAGATCTCTCTGTTCTGAACTTGGTAATTGTGAAGAAGGGTGAAAGTGATTTACCTGGACTGACTGATGTTGAAAAGCCAAGAATGAGAGGTCCAAAGAGGGCATCCAAAATTCGTAAGCTGTTCAATCTGTCTAAGGACGATGATGTGAGAAAGTATGTCAACACATACCGTCGCACCTTCACAACAAAATCTGGTAAAGTTCTTCATGCTAGCAAATCCATTGTTGTCACCCACTTGCCCATTATATGACTTTGTCATTTGATGTTGCCAACTTGCCATTAAATAGAACCTGTGGATGGGTGGTTTGGAGATTTCATAATATAAGAAAATGAGTTGAAGTGTAGCTGATTTTCGTATTTTGTAGCCTGTCTATGTCTTTCTGTTTTATTTTTCAGAATCATCTTCCTGTATGTCAGTTTTTATCTTGTTACAGAGTTTGATAGTGATAGCATTCAAGTTTATTTGTTCATCTGGGGCATATGTGCATTAGTAATGTACTTTTTACTGAGTTCAATGGTGTTGTGTGATCCATGTAGCTTATCTTACCTATTGGAATAAGGCTTAGTTATTGTTGTTGTTGCATGCATTAACAATGTAATAGACATGATTTGTTCCGGAATGTTTTTCAGTCTGTTGGTGTATTAAAAGTTACGACTTTCGTATAAAATGAGAATTCTTGACTTCATCCCTTGGGAAACTTATGTTGTTAAGAAACAGTCCTGTCTGGTAATTCAAATATGAAAACGAAAACATGCACGTGGTTTTGATTATTGACAACTGAAACCCTTTTGAATTGAAGAGTTGCCACAATCAATGTATGTGATAGTCCCTCTGGCCTCTGCTACATCCAATTAAAATTGGACGGATACAAACATAATTCATTATGAATTCTAGTCCCAATGGAATTTTCATTGCAGGGAAAAAGGTTAGCAAAGCTCCAAAGATTCAACGACTTGTCACACCATTGACACTGCAAAGGAAGCGGGCAAGGATTTCAGACAAGAAGAAGAGAATTGCAAAGGCAAAATCAGAGGCCGCTGAGTATCAAAAACTCCTTGCCTCCAGATTGAAGGAGCAGAGGGAACGCCGCAGCGAGAGTCTGGCAAAGAGGAGATCCAAACTTTCTAGTGTTGCTAAGCAAGCTGCCTCTGCATAGGCCGGTTGCTTTCACAGATATGGTGAAGTTCAATCATCATCATAGTTTTGGTAGTGTCATTCCATGATGGCTGCTTTCTGCTAAAAACTTGTTGATTTGTTATTTAGATGCACTTGAGTATACTCAACTATTTCTTAATGTTGTATTTGACAGGGTTGAATTAAGAATTTTGGCGGCTTGAATTTTGGATCCATTTGATGTTTGTAACTTGTTTTTATTAGTGAACTTAAATATTCCGTGATTGATAGATGTAGTGCTAATATAAAAATAACGAGTCTCTTTATGAATATATGCAAAATTTTAATTGTTTGATCATGTTATCCATTTTTAGTTTTAGTATTAAAAAAAAAAAATCTAAACTTAAAAAAGTCACAACCAAGTGAAAATATCTTATAATAACAAAATCTGAAGTTAGCCACTCTGCAAATTGCAAACAATATATAAAATAAATATTAATGAATATACGAAATTGATTCAATAAAAAAAAATAGATATTGAAATTTTTTGAAATGATTTACCACAAAAAAAAAAAATTGTTTTATTGGCAAGTCATTGCCAAAACGCAAAAAGTAGTGTCATTGGAACAATTTTAAAAAATTAAGTAGTAATTTAGTAAGACATATTAAAAAATCAATGAGTATATGTGATTGAGATTTGGACTAGCTCTACTTGAAGTTCACATCTCTAAGTTTTGATGTTTCCCATAATACGTTGTTAATCCATTTCTAAATTCTTAAGAATATTAAATCAGAATAGTTTAATCAATAAATAAAATAAAATAAAATCCAAAGAAAATTTTTTATATGAAAAAAATTCAAAATAATAATAAAAACATAATATATATAATATATATGCTACAATTTATTTAAAAACTTTAAAATCTTTATTGAAATTAACATCATTTAATTGAGAGAGAGAAGCTCTAAACTAGAGAGAAACTCTGAACTAATTGTGACTACATATCAATATCAATGCCTTTGTCATTTATAGACTTAAGGAAACTCTGAAATGTGTGTAAAATTTACCTTAAGTTGAAAATGCACTTTTTGAAGTTACACTTGAAACATGAATAGCCAAAATATCCCCTGTAACACATTAATTTAAACTTTCAAAATAAAATGATTTCATAATAAATGAGAATAATAAAAATTTTATTCAAACAACTCCAATTGCATTGTTTCAATAAAGTATTTCAAAATAAAGATATATTACAATTTGAATCAAGTAATTATTACAGGACTAATTTAAATACATCATATTTAAAAAAAAAAAAAGAAACTTTCTAAGTCATATAGCAGTTTTATCCATTTTTTTACTGAGTTTGGCGCTGATCGTCTTGGTCACATGAAAAATAAATGTAAGGGTGAGTACTCTATACTATCACACACAACTATAGAGACTCATCTTGCACATTCCACACATTTCTAACATAATTCATGTCATGCATAAACAACATAAATTCATACTTTTTCAAACATTTCAATATTTCACACACACATACGCTCACTACATGTTAGTCATGCTCACGGTGGCACTGTGATCACAAATTCCTGATATCCTCAATCTTAGAGTCTTACTCAATTTCACACTATGAATGGTCATCGGATAGCTCTCGCTCCACGGATATAACGTGTGCGGTCTTGGGCTCCAAGCAAAGGTGGTAGTCAAAGGCCGAGTCAAGAGGAGAGTGTGTGGCCTGTGGTGCACTCACGCTCACTGTTGGTGTCACCACTACCCTCTCTTCCCAAGATATTTCTATCGCCCTCATCTTCCACACACCTAGTGTATCGCTAAACCATTCATAGTTTTTCAATATTTCAAACACATCTACAATTAGAGTCACATGGCATTCACACGGATTTTTAATCATTTCATATTACTCATTATCAACCAATGATATGTCCACACATACAATCAATCACATTATATTCCATACTAAATTTTCACCACAATCCAATAGTAATCAAACCATTTCATCACATACATCACTCAATAATTATCACATCATGTTCCATACAAAATTTCCATTAAAAACCTCCATTTTCCTACTTTCTATCTCAACCATGTTCCACTATCTAGCAACATGAATGAAATCTAAACACAAGAAGATAGGGTAGAGTCTCCCTTTACTTCGGGTTGAAGATCCACGACAAAACCAATAGTAGAATTGCTCCCTATACATATCCTTGTCCTAAATACATGGAATAATCCATAAAAAACCAAGAAAATGAAAGAAAAGGACAAAATTGAAACCCTAACTCATAAAACTTACTTCCAAGCGTCCCAAACATGATCTTAACTTTCAATCTTGCACCCAAATGACTTTGAAGGCAATTTAGTTGGTGAAATATGGTTGAGAGTAGAGAGAATCAAAGAAGAGTTCGAAGAGAGGAATGCGAAATGAGTTTTTCAAGCCCTAAACCCCTCAAATACCTTAAGAGTCGCGATATTTTCGCTATAGCGAGACATTTCTCGCTACAGTGAAAATATCATACCACACTGCACTTTAGTTTCTGCATAATCACGCTACGATGAGACTGTATTCAGAAAATACACCTCTTCTGTTGCCCTTTTGCTACAGCGAGAATGCAATAGAATCATACCATTTTTCCAGGACCTTCTCGCTATAGCGAGAATTCTCTGCAGTACACACTTAACCTATGTTTTCAATTAGTCTAACCCAACCACAAGTCAAATATTCTCATTCACATTTATGTTTCTATCCATACATGTACACATATTCATATCATCGTCATATAAATCAAAATACACATTCAACTAGAAGAAATCCATAATTCATATTAATATTCGAACTATATTACAAAACTTGGGATGTTACATCCCTTACCATAGCTAAAAGAGAAAATTGTGAGAAATTTTGTTTCCATTACACGAGTATTTAAAATTTATCATCCCTATCTACATAATCTTCAACTAAGTACTTGTCCAACTCATTTTTTTTATCAATGAAACTTTTTTCCCTTTAAAATGAGTTTAAAGCATCTCTCTTTACCAAATAGGGTGAAAGTTCAGTAAGACTAAATTTTTTCACACAAGAAATCCTTTTTCAGTAGGGTGGGACAAGATTTCTTTTCATGGACAAAAAAAATACCAATTATGCATTCTAATAAATTATTTTTCAAACTTGTGGACAACTCAATACAAAATATTTTATAATTTCTATACAAATTTTCAAATGACCACTCAACATATCTCAGTTTATATTTAAAATGTTTCTCCAATGTTTGTCATATTTCTTCCTTAATTCCCACCCATAATGCTCAAGTTCATAGCAGACTATATAAGTTCACAATGGACAGAGGCAAGTTAGTGAAATATAGATTCTATTGTTACATGTGAAGAAGATGTAAAGACTTCAGGGACTTCATAGAAATTTTTCAAAGATTTAATAAAAACTCTAGCATTCTCCTAATTAACACTTGTATGTGCACCAACAACCCTAAAGTAATCCAAATAACTTGAATCTTTAAACTCAATCTTCTTAAAAGTAGCTTGGAATTTGTATGCATTTTTTGGCATGGAATCCTAGCAAACTCTTAGTATTTCTTAAACTTAGATAGTCTTTGAAGTGAAGAGCTCACAAATCTTACAATAGTGTGAATTATTTAAATAGAAGAATGCATATCTTTTAACCTATCATTTAAAATGTGTGCACAACACCTCAAGTGAAAGAATTTTCCTTCTAACACCAAACATTCATGTTATTTATTCTCTTTTTAGGTAAGTGATAATCATTTCATAATTGCTTGCATTATCAACAATAATAGGATACACATTCTTAAGTCTCCATTCTCTTAGAATCTCCTTCACATGCCTTTCTATGATTTCTCCTTTATGATTATGAACTATTGAGAAGCTAATGATTTTCTTATGATAATTCTATTTTTTGTCTATAAAGAGCGCGATGAGGGTCAAATAATTTAGATTTTGAATTGATGTCCAACAAAAAGTGATTAATGCAACCCTATTATAATCTAATTTTAAAAATCCATCATCCTAATTTTTTCTTCTGTATATAATTGAAAACAATCTTTAGCCATAATATGCCTTGAACGCCCTATAAATTGTGGTTATAGTTGTCTACATAAATACTCAAACTCCTCACCCTTAACTACTCTAAAAGGTTATTCATCTATGGTCACAAATATTGCTATTGCCTTCCTACAAGCTTCAACCCTAAACTTCTGACTAACAACAATTACATTGGTCTCCACTTCTAGAAGTAAGAATTGTTTGAGTAGGGTCATTGATTAAAGCATATGTATACTTGGAACAAGTTTTGAGGTGAGCAAGTAAATTAGATGTGTCATGTACCTTAGTATCACAATGATACACTTTGTTTTAATATTTACAAGTAGCCATAGGTTCTTCCAATTCACATTCAAATAATTTATTAAGATGGTCTTATGCTGTTGATGTCTTTTGACGACCACTAGCATTCCATTTTCTCTTCTTTAAATTCTACGAAGGGTTACCCTCTGCAACACCAGTTTTAGCCACAGGTACATTACTAGGTTGAGTTTCGCTCCCACTTACTTCTATTAAAGTAGAATTTGTGGGATTGAGAATCCCTTCATTTTCATTTAAGGTTGTCTCTTGTTCATCGAGAGTAGGAAGCAAATTAAGGCTAGATTGCTCTATTATTTCTTCAATACTACCTACCATATGAAATGTTTATTCTTAACATTTTACAACTTCTATGTTTTATAAGATTTTCTAAATTATCTAAATTATTTACAACTTTTCTTTAATGCATAATTCTAACATGAAAGCTAAATCTGCCAATGATAAGAAAAAGTACGAAGGAAGAGACAAAGACAATATTTCTTACATTCTCATTCTACCATTGTTGAATTAAAGAGAGAGAGAGAGAGAGAAGAACAAGAAATAATTCCTCTTTTAACTGAGGGAATAAAAATCATATCTCAGTTTATCTAACATCATTGGATTAAAAAAAAATGATATCTTAGTCTATTGTCATTGAATTAGAAAAACATAACAATTATATCAGTCTAATATCATTGAATTAAAAAAGAAAACAAATATCTTAGTCCACCATCATTGAATTAAAAAGAGAGAAAGAGGAACACAAAAGGGCATATTAGTTACAATTGGAGATACTATGACAAAAAGCAAGGCTACGCTAAGCATGATGTATGACTTTGCTTAATAGCCACTCTGGGAGTGCTTTGTGATCATGCACAACCATGATGGAAGGTATGCATGACTATGCTTATCTCCTGGTGATTTGAATTTAAAGA